AGAAGATCGGTGTGAAGTGGAAGTGATGCATGGTGAGAGAGATAGCCGGGGCCCACTTAATTTTTTCCACCTTTTGAAAAGCATTTGCTACCGCACGGTTGTTGAAAATATCTATGGCCAGCGGTTGCAAAGAGAATGTAATCACTACGTTTTTGAGCGGTTGTCACTCAACGTCAATGAACCGTCAAATCGCTTGCAAATTTCTCATGTAAAAAAAATAGGCGGCTGCCTACATTTCACCAGAGATTTTGTGACAGACTGTGAGATTTTTGAAGTGAAGAATATTTTTCAAGCGACTTTCCGAAATGCTAAGAAACTGTAACTCAAAACAGTTAGTTAAGGTTTTTAGAATCATACGTCATTGGGACTTAAACTCACTTCCTTATGTAACTCCACTCGATGTCAACGGCACAATGCCAACACTCTATTTTCCACGAAACTTTTACATCTCTTGATTAGAGAATCAATCACAAGTATTGTTTTGTGTAAGCGATGCGTGATCAGTCAGCGTTAGTGAAACAACATATATTCTTGTTAAGTAAATTAAACAGTGTGTGAAATGTAAATCATACAAAATGTAGTCCGCCCATTACCCGTTGAAGGAACGCGATGCCGTGTAACCGGCCGAGCGGAATTTCTCGTATTGACAGAGCCATTCTCGGGAACAATGAAGGTTGATCGGCCCGAGAACGATTGGCCAAATAAGTCAATGTTTACGCTTCGCACACACGCAAATATCGCGTTGCGTCATCGGCTCGGAGCAGATCTTGGAACGTCATGACATCCTGGTACCGGTGGGCCGTAAGATGTTGCTTTTAACTCATTGGCTTCTTTTTGGAAATTTCGAGAACCACCGAAGTAATTGCTATTATGTAAGCCAACATAAAAAAGTAACTTATTTTAATGATATACACATAATAAATAAAGATATTTACCTGGTAACGGTGGGCCGTAAGATGTTGCTTTTTAAGTCATTGGTTTCTTTTTGGAAATTTCGAGAACCACCGAAGTAATTGCTATTATGTAAGCCAAAAAAAGTAACTTAATTAATTGATACATAATAAATAAAGATATTTATTGTAACAACCTATACTACTGAAGATGTATCTAACAATAATTGTACATGTGCGTCTTGTGTATACACTAATATTATAATCATTTGTGCTACGCGCATCAAACATACTATTAATTAATAACTTATTTCACCTTTACATGTTAATCATTCTTAGAACTTGAAATGAAATTCACAATAGTTTTGTTACATATTTCATTAATAAAATAATTAGAATATATTTGTTAAACTCCAACTGACTTAAAACATGAACTTAGCAACCATAGGAAACATAGGAAACAAAACATAGGAAAATAGGAAAACTCTTCGAAGATTTGCAAATACTAATATAACTATTGTGTCTTTTAGTAAATTAAACGGGTAGTTAATGGCAACAATATAAACTGTATGTCGGTTAGAATGTGAATCATCAAGACGTTTTAACGTGTGTAAGATATTCTGCGGAGTTCGGAGTTAACTCATCGCCCCGAGCACTTCCTGTAACACGCCCATTCTTTGGTCGAATTCCTTGCAATTCTTTAGTTTTAAACATCAATGCTTTGAGTATTTTTTTCATTAAAAATTAACCAGCATTTTATTATTCATTCTTAATTTTATTTAATGATTTCGTGTAATTAATACAATTAGCAGTATAATAAGGAAGTGAAAATAATTTTACCGTTCCCATAATTTCTAGAAAAATAGAAACGTTATAATACAAAACGCATGCATTGGTCGTCACTATTTTTTTTACTTTGAAAAAACAAACCTTAATTAGGAACGATAATATTTACATCCTGGCGAAGTACTTGGAATCAGGCGCTAATCTTTCCAACTGTTGAAATACTAAAAAATAAAAAGAGAATATACTAAAATACTGATCATCAATAAGCTAAGAAATTCCGATAGAAAAACTTGGATTTTTGTTTTCAATTCCACGATAAACTTTGCGACAGTCATCCATTTAGCTCAGCGGTTAAAGCGTCTGGGCGCGAAACCAGAAGACTCGCTTTCGATTCCCGCAGCGGAAATACTTTTCTTCCATATTTTCTATAGTTTTGATCGTGAAATCGTGGAACGTTTCGTGTCGATTTAAATACCTGCACTGTTCAGACACCGCACGTTCTCATACTGACAAAATAAAGGCAAAATAATTGACGAATAAAAAATTTACCGTTTTAGGGCCACGCAACAGTCTTCGCTGTTGCACAAATGGGCGTTAAGTGGAAGTTTTATACTCCTGGGTTTTGATCTGGTGTGTGAGGTAGCCGGGGCTCACTTATTTATCTTTTTATATAAGAATCTGGCTAACGAGCTGGCGGCCTGGCGCATCAGGTGAGCCGCCAGCTCGTTTGCCGCCTTCTCACGCAAAAAAAGGGTGTTGAGAAAGCATGAAGATAATACTTTGATAATCAGATGCGTTGGCAGGGCGCCACCGTGGCGACTGAGTCAGTGTTGGCGACTTGCGAAGACACACTCAATGAGTCCAACGTTGTTGTTAATGGATACTTGTACAAATAACTACGTGTTTACGATTCCGCACAATGAATATGTGCTAATTCGTGTGCGCTGAGCTGAGAGTTATAAAGTCGTGATGTTCTCGTTTTATTAACTTAAAATTATGAAAAATATACAAGACATTTAATAAATAGATACTTTATGACTTTACACTGTACTTATTTGTCTTGCTTAAGCTTTCTGAAATGATGTGTGTCATGTTACTGTATGGATACAATATATGCCTTTGGCGATTCAATAAATGATACAGTAGTACTTCAAATTCAGTTATTTCTTATTTAAGTCTTACCGTACGTCCATAATTTGCGGAGTATCTAATTCAATTACACTGAAAAATATGTGGTAAGAATATTTGATGTTATTTCACTGTAGTGAAACAAAGTTTCGTTCATTAACTCTACCAAGTCGGGCTAAGGTGTGTCGTCGCTAGAAATAGGCCCCCTTCCGGCGCCTGAAATAGCCGTGTCGCCAGCACAGAGGGACGGATTTTGTCGTACCACAGTGAGCAAATAAAACGAAGACAGTAGTTATAGTTCATTAGAAGTCCGAATGAACGCTCGTGACAAGAAACAACTGTGGTAGGAACACGGTCTTCGCTGTTGCACGAATCGGCAGGTCCGTTCCGGTAAGTACCACGACCTCACAGAAGACCGGCGTGAAGTGGAAGTATACTTCTGCGTTTCGTCTGGTGTGTGAGGTCCACGTTATTGAAAGGTGGCAACCCTACGACTGTTGCACATTAATGCGCGGCGGCTGTCATTTAACATCAGGCGAATCACCAGCTCGTTTGCCACCTTCTCACATAAAAAAAAAGCAACAAATTCTTCTCGACTGCAGGTAAAGTGGTAGGAACTGTTATCTTAACATTTCCTTCCAGTTTACCTGCCATAATCTGTATGACGTTAATCTCATACAGATTATTTATTTATTTATTTATTTAAATTTTATTGTTTACACCTCAACTTAAGGCTAAACAAAAGGCAAACTTAATGCTAATAAGCATTCACTTCCAGTCAACCTTGGGAGTAGAGGAACAGATTATGGCCAGAGGTTAGGCTAGATTGCAACTGTCTTGTCGCTGTACAAGAAAGGTATCTGTTAGGGCCGCCTTTGCGCGAATAATACATCGCGGCCCGTATGCATAGGGAAATAGGGTCAAACAATCGTAGACGGCGGGCGCTGGCGCGGCGCCAGCACTGCAAATAGCCCCGGGTTCAATCCCCGCCGGGCGACTGCTCGCGAAATCTTATTTCTATTGCGCTGACTCAGGGAAGCCGCGCCTGTTACAATAACGTCCTGCGGAACCACCAAGACGCCCTGTTACCCTGTTCGTCAGCTGAAACGCAAATGGAATATGCCAGAACGTCCTATGTCATCACATCTGACGTGCACGATGAAATGAGTCAAAACATCTGACTATCACATATAGCGCGTAACATCTTTTGTTATGAATTAAAAGTAAATAGATTTGCGGAAAACAAAATTGTTAAAATTCTAATCATATGGTTGTTTATGTTGTTGGGAGATCGATACTTTTAGATTAAATTTCACGAATTTTATTACTCCGTCATAGTAATAGCAATAATTTACTTTTATCTATGAGGGACCAAGAAAAGGCATCGGTTTCAAATTTGTTTTTCGGTTTTCTGTTTTCAATAGCGGTATTTAAAGTTGTTTGTATGATTTTAGTGACTGTGTTTAAGAGTACACGGAGTTGTATCATAAAATAAATGAATATCATGCCATCTAGCTCGTCGTAGGTATATCAAAATAACGTTATAAATGCAATAAATAATAATTATTTCGGTCCATATTTTTATACATTATCTAGTCCCAAACTTAGCAAAGTTTGTACTTAGGGTACGAGATATACAAATATCCAGACACTAAAAAAACACTATGCTCATTACACATTGTTTTTCCAGTAGTGGGGATCGAACCCACACCCTCTGGCGCAAGAGACAGGTTCACTATCCAAAGCACCAATTGGGTCGTCGAATAGTTTTATGAGATGTTTGTTTGTCCTTCAACCGCAACCGGCTTTTGTTAATTTAAAATTCTATTTTACTCGCCGGATAACACTATAAGACACTTTTTATTCTGACAAGAAAATTTTCATGGAAGTACCTTATGGTCCACCGCAGGGAAATTTTTCTATGTATAATCGATACAATAGGATAACCAGATATGCACTCGAGGTGAAATTTAAAGTCGAATTTAACAGATAAATTATTATCGAAAAATTTCGGCCGTGAGTATATCGGCCGCTTAGTTGGCTAGCATTGCTCGTAATTGATGACGTTGATGATGACGCAAGTTCGAAACAATTGTTCTATCAATTTCACAATTAACCCAATACAATAATTATATTTGTTCCATCCACGTTAAAGGTTTCTAGGAGAGATATCATCATGCTTATATTTTCCTCCAGGATCCTGGTGGGTGCTCCGGAGGACGAGCCGTACCGGGTCAATGGGGTCACGAGACCGGGGGCGGTCTACCGGTGCGAGCCAGGCCGCCGGCAGACGCAGCCCTCGCTCGACATGTGCTCCGTCATGGACTTCGACAAGAACAGAGGTGAGATTTAATAGTCCAGATAGACCGCTTTGGTGCTTTGAGTATGTCGATAACTCGATATGTGGAAGACCCCTCGGTAACGGTGTGTCTCGCAAATGCGTGTAATGCGTTACATATGAAAATACACTTTTCTCAAAATAATGCGTGTAATGCGTCACCTATCGACAAATGAAAATGCACCTTTGTCAATATTGTTTAGATGTGTGGGCCAAATTTTACTCAATTTAACAAATCGTGACCCGTTCTTATATGTCCTGCGTGCATGTAAACATTACCATGGAAGCGGCAAACGGTTCATAGAAAAAAATTAAACAACAATAATAATTTAAGAAGAATCGCGTCGGTAAGGAGTTCTTAGTATTTAACTAAAGCCTCGGTACGAACGTGCTGGCATCATCAATTCGCTGTCCTGATACGTACGGCTTTTATCCAATCTTAAGGCGAAACCTCAAATAAATGATAGTTTTTAACCTCGGCTCCAGCTATTCAGCCATTTTGTAAACATTATATCCATAATAAAATAATGTTATCACGACTTGTGAAGACATTTTGTATCACCAAAACGTTAATTCTTAAAGATTAAAGCACGTTAAAAATATTTATTAATATCTTTATAACGTTGTCCTCATAGTATGTATTTATTTTTTTACTTTTACTAAATATACTAAATTTTTTAATAAATTTTTATTAATTATATTAATTTGAGCATAGTAGGTATATATATAATTTATTTATTTTATACTCCATGAAATAAGGATTACATAACAATTATGGATATAAATTTGCCAAATTTGATAGCGATGGCAATAATTCTTTTTTTATGTGAAAAGTTGCCAATCGAGCAGACGGTTCACCTGATGGTAAGTGAATACCGCCGCCCATGGACATCTAATACACCCGAGGGTTACAGATGCGTTGACAACCTTTTGAAAATTGGTCTCCGGCTACCTCATTCACCAGACGAAACGCGAAAGTATTTTTCATACTTCCACTTTACGTTGGTTTTCTGTGAGGTCGTGGTACTTACCCCACTGCCTATTCGTGCAACAGCCGAGGCTGCTGCGTGGCCCTACCACCGTAGAATTTTTAATTTGATATCTTCATTAGATATTTGATTTGTAAGACAGTGTTTTACAAAGCGTATATTCCGACGCTTGTGAACGTAATATGATAGAAACAAGGTTTCTTTCTATGCCAATACCAATATAACCAATACTCTCACGTCTATAACTGTTGTAATCTAGGGTAAGACAGATATAAATTTCGCGTAATACGACCTGGCCAGTGCTCTCCACCCATAACTTTTCACCCAAATGTAAAATAGACGAAAATAAAGTAATCTTACATATTTATATAATATTCAATAAGCTCAACCTTCTCATATGTATTTCCGATTAGCATTCGAAACTTGAACCCATTTGAAAGAGGACAACAAACAACGTCTCATTCAGAGCACACGTCGTGGGTACGCTTGAGCGTGCATGTGCACATGTGAATGCCGTGACATGTGCCCCCGTGAGTCGCATGTCGCATGCGCCCGTGCGACGGACGGGCCCGCGCACGCGCATCTGATTTACGACGAGACCGCTCGCCGCGCCACCGCGCTGTGTTGCCCTCGTCCGCAATATTTAATCTGTCCCGCGGTATAAACTTTGGCGGCACTAAATCGCACGACTCCTGTTCGTATGACTAATATTTTTGCCCGTCTTTACGTCCTTTCTGACGTTTTATTAATGTATTCTCATTGTTGTCTGATGCCCTTTCGTTTTCCTTTTAATGTAATGTGCTGCATTTACTTGTTATAGTTTTCTTTCTTACGTTTAACAAAAAAGACATTGATCGTTTAATTGTCAATTGTCAACTCCTTGATATAAAGTTTTAGATCATAGTTCAAGAACGGAGTACACGATGGTTGTAAAAATTTACTATTTATTAAGATAATCGGAACAATACCTATAATACAGAAATATTACAGTGCAATGGATGTTATCAAATTCAGTCAGTTCCTTTGACTGGTAGGCAGAGCTAGTTTCATGTTGAGTTTGATGTAGTGCATTGCAAACGAATGCAGGGCTGTCAAGGAGAGAATAATGTTAATGAAATTGGTTATATAGTTTCCCTTTTCGTTGATATTATTATATGAATGGCTAAACTATCTGTCCTTATATTCCTACATAATTTAAGAGTTTATTCTTCGGTCCTTGTACAATAGCCGTAATTTGAAACATTTGGGCCGAAGTTGGAAGGATCCTGCGTCCGAAATTTTACGGGCACAGAACAATGTACCATGAATCACCCCGCTGCTGGGAATCTGTAAGTGGAGGGCATTTGGCATTCGAAAGAGTTTAAATGCGGCCTGAATTTTATGCAGCGTCAGAATGTGTAAAGAATTTCGCATTTCATGCCGCTTTGCTTCTGAAATTCTTTACTTTTTCGACTCGTTCGTATTATTCATGATGGATGCATTTTCTCATACGATTTTTTTTCAAATGTTTTATGATACTGTTTGTATCATCAATTTGTTACAGATAATTTGCTGTGTTCATAGATTTACTCTATTATCCGTCGGTATGGCAAATTTTTATATCTCCGGACGACTTTATAGGTTTTATCCTTGTATAAAGCATATTGGTAAAACTAGTTTTTTTTTACATCAGTATAACAATATTGCAACAAGGTTGTGATCAATAAAAAAAAACCAAAACAGCCTTTTAAACATATTCTACGTCTAACATCGTTAAATTCAGGTGAGAGTGACCTGCTTCTACGGTCTATCCTTCACCGGGAACGGAACCCGTGAACCGCACGGTGGCCAATCACTTAACCATCGCACTAAACACAACGAGTGCTTGGCAAACAAGGCGGGTTCTTGTGTCGGACACTTGCGTAACGAGAGCCCTCGCTGACGACGGACACTTATGCTATAAGGAGCGTTTAACTTGTGTTTTCATACGTCTCGACAGTGATCTTTGCCGTGACAGATCGATTCCGAGCATTGTCACGAGACGTATGAAATTTCAAGCGACTGTCGGGCAAGCAGTTCTCGAGTAGATTTCCGATCACCGCTGTGGACGGACGCACAAGACCGGAGGCTTTGCTAGTACGTTGATAACCTTTAAGATGAGTGTCCTTCTAGTTACCTCACGCATAAGAAATACAAAATTAGTCACCCATTCAAGAGGCCGTGGTATTTCTCCATACGGCTGTACCCTTGTAGCAGAAAGCTCTACGTACAAATATTAGCTACAAATAGTAGCAAAGAATGCACGATTTAGCTTTCTCGCGTATCAATTGAGTTCTTTTGAATTTTGTGACGATATGTGACAGAATTATTGTAACTGATGTAGTATATAGCAGTCCAGTAGTAGATAATTCTTGTTAAGGAACTTTTCCTTTACAAGAATAATCTATAACATTTATTGTAACATTAACATTTTTGTGTAGTACGGCGACACAGCAGATAATGCTGTTGGACGTATGGTATCACGTCCTCGCAGAAGACTGGTGTGAAGTGGAAGTATTAAATTTATTTTGTCTTGTTGAAGAAAGTGAAATATTAAAATGTTTATGAGTAATATTTCGTTTCTCCGTACGTAAGTTAATTAACGATTGTAGACACGAGGTGAATAAAGTTATTTAGGTAATCGTTCACTATAAGTGTAAATTTTTTATAGTGTACGATTAAAGCCATATTAATATTATAAATGCGAAAGTAACTCTGTCTGTCTGTCTCGCTTTCACGCCAAAACTACTGAACTGATTTAAATTTGGTACACAGATAGTCTAGAGCCTGAAAAAGGACATAGGCTATTTTTTAATTGGATTTTTTTTAAAGAAAGATATATATTTAAGGGCTTCAACGCGAGCGAAGCCGCGGGCGAAAAGCAAGTCTTTAATATGTACTAAATATCAGGTTTTGTAATCGATAAAACGTTTTGTTGAGGAACTGCAACTTAGATTTGGCCCGCACTTTAGAGTTTTGTAAACGAAGCTTGTAGGTGTGAGTTAAGGTGCCAATTGTCCGAGTCATGGAAACAGAATTTGATTTCCGCTCGATAAAAAATAATGCCGGTTGTAAATATAATTGTAACGGATTTCATTTGGGATAATGCCCTGTGTGGTTGACATCTTAAAGAGATATATACAATTTATCTCCCTATAAATAAATATCTAGTAAGAGATTGTAGATATATCTTTAACAGAAGCCAACACAAGGAATGGAAAATTTTAGTAAAATGTAGTTCTGCCCATAAAGTGACAAAAAATATTTTTACGCGAACATTTTATGTTTTAAATAGCTAATATATCATTTATGATCAGGGATAATGTCACGCGATAAATTCCGTAAAATTAACCAAGGGGTATTTTATTTATTACTCGGGCGTTCCTCATTCTGTGCAAAGACCTGTCGTTTGTTCTGCCATGAAGAAATAAAAAAAAGCATGTGTGTGCTTATGTACGCACGTAAGAAGTTATACTTCTTTAGCGTAACGAAAGTAAAATAAATAAAATATTTATCCACTGTGCCTCTGGTTATGAAATAGACATTAAATGCAATTGATAATTTTTAATTAAATAACTTAGAATCATAGGTAAATGTCAAAAAAATACCTGGTCGCTTTACAATCAATTTTTTTTTTCATCATATCACTTTTGGATGTAGGTGTGCGTCAAAATATTACTCCAAACGCGCCAAAAGAAGTAGAGCTTCAAAAAGGAGTCAGATTGTTTTCAAATAACGTGGTATTTGAAAACAATCTGGCTTTGTGGTTGCGCTTAATTTTTGCACCGGCCGCTCTCCAAATATTTAATTTACGTGAGCATTCGCTCCAGTTTCACCATCCGGTGGATCGTCGGGGGGCGAGATAGCTTTGATTACACCTGTTAGCGGGTAATTAGCGTCGATTCTGGATTAGAGGGTCACGTGGGAGGCGCGTGGGTGCCCGTAGGCGGGCACCTTCGCGCCTCCGTCGAAACCGAATTGTAACAATTTGGTGTTT